TATGTAGTATATATATATATATATATAGCTTAGATCGGATGAACTAGCCAAAGAATTGAGGATACTTTAGTTGGCGTGATAAATTTGTATAAAATTGAAGTGAATGGATGTGATACGTGAACAACGTGCAAGATTGCACAGCAAGATTGTCGTATTTTCTATTGTTATAGGCAGCGATCGATGGACTAATTGTTGGTCATATTGTGTGTATAGTTTCAATATAGTTGCGGCACAGTCGGCTTTCTGGCATACCGCATTGTTAGTTTCCGTTATCAAGTCCTCAAGATACTATTATTCTCACCTGTAGTCCCTCATTCGGCAACCGCTCAACCAAAACCCCCACATCGTACGCATCAACTGTCATTGCGACTAAAATTCCAGGCATTCAACATGCGACATCCCAAGGCAGTACGAGCTCGAACATCAGCCGCTACTATCGAAGTCGTTTGCTGTAACTCAGAAGCAATATCAACAACAATACCACATTGGTGTTTGTTAGAGGCTTGCTGCTCTAGTAGTGACCAACATCAAATATTATCGCTGTTTACAATTTAAAGTTCCAACGATTTACGGCAATCACTGAATTTGAGAAGGGTAACTCATCCCAAATAATTGATGACAGTTTACGTAGTCATCAAAGAAATTCTTCAAATATATATATATATTGCACTTTGGACAAATATATATATATATTGCACTTTGGAACCAATATTGCGTCCTTATTTAAAATATCAAACATATGACCTCTGGATTTAGTCTCTTGAAAATGACTTTATGTCTCCAAGAGAAGATGCAACTTTTCCACGGATCCAGATTCCAGAGGGCCATGTATATAAAAGACCAACCAAAGTAAATCGTGAAAAAGTATTGATAATTGTACATTCCAACGTAAAATGTAACGAGGTTAGATATGAAACAATATGTATGCATTTATAGATACGTAAATACCGCAAATTGAGCGTCTCTAGAGAGACAGAGGTGAAAATTCAAAATATGGCTGATCTGGCTGATCGGACTAGCTATTTATTATAAAAGTACTTTATATTTATTCATTTGTGTAATACTTTAAACTCATTACATACTTTCCCTTAACTCTAGCATCGAAATTAATATTATGGCACGATAAGTGGTGTGTGTTCATCTCGGATATCTTGTACTCCATGAGCATGCGATACTCGTCTATCGACAATGTATTGACACCTGATGCCTTCCTGCACAATTCAGAAGATCCATACGTGGGTACGACCGTTGCTATGGGTTGGATCTGTACTCTCTTCACTACTTGCTCCTGCCTGCTTCGGCCACATAGACTCTCCACGGGCCGTGGAGATGCGCGGGGTGGTGCCGCATTATTCTTGCGCTGTCTAACGGATATCTTCTGCGACGGATTTGGCGATTGTACTTCGTCTGACCCCGAATTTACGCAACTAATGGGGCTAGACTTCAATCCATTCTGCACCGACTTACAGCGATTGAATATGGGTTTAAGTTGAGGAGAGTGCCCTGTCTAACCGCTGGACTTCCGCCGAACAATACTGTTAAGAGAAAAGTTCGAATTGCCGCAAAACGGATCTTTTTTAGGGTTGTTACTATTTGTTGTTACCCTCCCTTGCTTATCTTTCCGGATAAGTGCTTGTAAAGTATTTGTGTACAATTTAACGCCCTCGGCCGCTGAAGGGGTTGTGATATTGTTTATGGAGTGAGCATTTATTCCTATACTGACCGGAAATCTGGTGTGTGCTGTTAGAGCGATGCACCTGTGTGGGTGACTTTTTCGACACTTCGCTGAGAACATCAGTTTGAAAAGATACAGTTCTCCGTACATTACATCTTTTTTTCTTCACACATCCATCTATTTTGTTGAACTCAACTTTGGGCAAGTTTGGCAGAAGACCGTCTGCCTTTTCAATGTTCAAGGCAGCGCTTAGACTGTCTAGATGATCAAACAACATGATATTCAAGCTATAAACTCATGAGCTGTCCTTATACGGGTCGTATAAGTTATTCTAGTGATTTATGACTGAATCCCTCTCTATTCGTGGGAATATATATCTAATAGAGATATCCTTTTTAGGTACGATGCTCAAGAGTTCTTGTGAGCATGTTCGCAGAATCGCAGGTCGACACCACTGTTTTCCGACTGTATACTATTGAGACTATAGAGGCTATAGTCCATACATAGTCAGATTGGCAAATTCCATACAAAACGGGCAATATAAATATATTTCCAGACCGTTGGGCGTTGGGGACTTCACTGACCACTGCACTCTGCGCTCTGACTCTGCACTCTGCACTCTGCAGTAAAATAACTGTTATAACAAATACAAAAGTCATCAGTAGAACTACTGGTCTATTTAAATACTACTCGCCATAGAGACAAAGTCAACTCTCTCTCTGCTAGCTCTACTCTCTCTCTCGCTCTCTCTCTCAGAGTGAGAGGACAGAGAGAGAGAGAGAGAGACTGAGAGAGTCTGAGACTAACCTCAATAAGTTAGACGATTTGTGTATAAACGTTGAACGTTTTAAGTTTACGGAATGACTTTTAAGCGTTACGTACTATGCATATATTATGGCCTGAAAAAAATTCGCAGTTTTGACTTAGTAAGTACACCTTGAATTTCGTTCTCGGCCACGAAAAACAAAACCAACCAATTAGAAATTAGAAAGTGAAGATCATATTTACCAACTGACGACTGCCATGACAGTTGACAATTGACAGATGACTCCATGGGAAAAACGTTTAGCGTATATCGTATACTTATTGAAAAATAAGCGTTCCAACGTTCAATATGTTGAGGTTATTAGGTCTGAGAGAGACCGGACTATTGCCAGAGAGAGAGGTACTCTACTCTCAAGTAGTAGAGAGTAGAGAGCGAAAGGCCGTAAGGCGTAAACCCTGGGCCCCTGAGTGGATTAAATGATTTAAAGAAGAACCTCTAACAGTGTGCGGGTATTTATGATAGAGCTTTTTTTTATAAATTCTACTTGTAGTTTTATAAACATGACGAATCAGCAATCACGACTTCACGAGCCCTATCAATCTACCGGCAGATAATTTATTTTTGAAAGTTTTCTTTTTTGAAAGCATACATAGAGCCAAGAGACCTGAAAACATATATTTAGAGCCATTGTTGTTGTTTTAATATTATTGTAAAATTATATAGATTTAAAAAAGCGTATGTAGACCGGCCGCCGCGGCCGCCGCCGTAGGGCGTAGGGCCGTAGGCTGTAGATCACTATTTTTAGCCATTGAAGTTGTTATTATATAAAACAATGAATGTATAAATGCAAAAAAAAAAAAATTCTTTTAAACTACGCGATAAATTTTTAATATTGGGCATCGAATTTTGTTAAAAAATATACTACTCGTAGAGTCGTAGTTCGAAGAGCTTGAGAGGTAATAATTCTACTGTGTTAAAAAATATGTACAGTATTTAAAAACATTTGATATGGGCAGCGGCTGAGCGACTGTCCTACTGGTAACAACTTGTCCTACCGACAAGTTGCGGTAACGGAAAAATTTGCAACTCCTACAGACACGCCAAAGGATGAGAATGGTATAAAAAATAACAATCACAATTGTGTATATAAATCATCATATCACTATGACTCTACGAGTTAAAATTTGTCAATGGGTTGGGTTCTTCAATTCGTTAGCTATATTAGCAGCTGAGAAAGGTTAAACGTACTTCGCGACTTCTTGAAGGCGACGATATAAGTGGGGGACAGGCAGGAATGTGGCGTAATGATCTCTTTGATATAAACTCTGCAGAGTGGTGACGTTCCTGTGACTCGGGTACACTAACTCACGATAGGCGGAAGATGTGTTTCACTGTCGGAGTATCTGCTTTTGTGTGCAGTTAGTTATGACCTTACATTATGTATATTGTAAATCAATTGAAGTTGTATAGCTATACACCTGTCACGTCAATTGCTGACGTGTGCTACAAGTTGCGAAACTGAATTGCTACAAGTTGGCGAAACTAAATTGCCACCAGGTTTCTAAAACATTATAACATAGAAAGATAGATCAACCATCCTGTAGGTGTAGACTAGTTCGGCTGTATGCTCGATTTATTTTATGTCAGATTGGTACTGAACGAAGTAGGTCGAATGCTACACACTACAAAGTCGATCTACTACCTTGTACTTCAAATCTGAATATTTTGATTCAGGATGTAAAAATCTTACTGAGATCACTTTCCCCTGGCCTCGAATAGAGTTTATCTCTGGTGTACAACAATAGCCTTGGAACTATTGTGTACGACTATGATAATAATAGTATCGCCATCAATGCAACAGTCTCATACGATATCTTCGAGCAGTCAGGATATGTCCAATCGATGCCTCGTCCACGAATGGCACTCTTGGTATTTTAATCAGACAACAAAAGATAGGCATCTACTTAGCAGCCTCTTAAACTGAACAGTAAGTCTGTAATTTCAAGTCGATATAAAAACATATCCTATTTTTGCTCCAAATACACATAGTATTTTATTACAAATTATATACTAGATTTGCTCTGACCAGGCATTTGTGGCGTTCGTGATTTGGGGGCTTATTCTGCCGTGGCGGCGTGTCTGTGCTACTAGCCTTCGTATTATGTTGTTCAGTCCCTCATAGCCTGATCGGACAGAAGAGAACGGTCGCGATGACGGCGAAACTAAAAAGGGTTGCAGTTTGATTTTATTTATAAGCGAATATTTGTATACGTACTCTAGGCATATAAGGAGTATAAAGACTCGGGTGACTATGAGTAGGTGTATAGCAGTGGCCATGCCGTACATAGAGCACGAATGTGGAACACATTTTTGTATGTCGGCGTAAACAATGATTTTTCAAGTATGCAAGTATGTAAATATGCATGTATGCATGTATGCATGTATGCTATATATATATATATATATATATGTATATATTGTAATATAAAGATA